GGCATTCCACTGGCAAATATGAAGTCATCACAGTTTCAGTATTGAGTAATAAATATCCAGGCTGGTTAGGCAGACACATTTGACCAAACAGCAAACACAGGTACATAAGAGTTTTCTTTGTTTGTTTTGTATTTTTTTCCCCCCTGTACAGCACAACGGATGATTTCAAATCAAACAAGCAAGATGTGTGAAAAAGTGTGACTAGTTTAGGATAAAGTTATGATAGGGTCAAAATTAATGGAATGACTGCACGAAGAGCAGTTTGCTAGCCTGATGATCCCTGTTCCCTTGTTATTGTGTGATGAATTCATATAAAAGATCTGGAGTTGATTCCAAGAGCTGATCTTGCATTTCATAGTTTTTAACATGAACTCTTTAGGCCCAAAGAGTTGATGCAAGTGAAGGATGCTATAATTAAGCTGAAAAACTATAATAGCAAAAAAGCAACAAATTTACAATTGTGAAAATTCATATTAACATTAATAATTAACATCCTGAATTACAGTAGTCCAGCCAAGAATTAATAAATGCATGAACTAGTTTTTCAGCATCACTCTGAGACAGGGTATTTCTAATTTTAGAGATGTTACCCAAATGGAAGAAAGAATGTGCGTTGAAGGACATATCCTGGTCAAAAATGACTCCAAGGTGCCTCACAGTGTTACTGGAGGCCAAGGTAATGCCATCCAGAGTAAGAATCTGGTTAGATACCATATTTCTAAGATTTTCAGGGCCGAGTACAATAACATCAGTTTTATCTGAATTAAGAAGCAGAAAGTTAGCAGCCATCCAGGTCTTTATGTCTTTAAGACATTCCTGCAGTTTAACTAATTGGTGTGTGTTATCTGGCTTCATAGATAGATAGAGCTGGGTGTCATCAGCATAGCAGTAAAAATCTATGCTATGTCTTCTGATGATACTGCCTAAAGGAAGGATGTATAATGTAAACAGAATTGATCCTAGCACTGAACCCTGTGGAACTCCATAATTAACGTCAGTGTGTGAAGAGGACTCAACATTTACATGAACAAATTGGAGTCTATTAGATAGATATGATACAAACAACTGCAGTGCAGTACCTGTAATATGTACAGCATGCTCTAATCGCTCTAATAGAATATTATGGTCGACAGTATTGAACGCTGCACTGAGGTCTAGCAGGACTGAGATGAGTCCACTGTCAGAGGCCATAAGAAGATGATTTGTAACCTTCACTAAAGCTGTTCCTGTGCTGTGATGAGCTCTGACACCTGACTGAAACTCTTCAAATAAACCATTCCTCTGCAGATGATCTGTTAGCTGTTTGACTACTTCTTCAATGGTTTTTTATATGAAAGGAAGGTTAGAGATTGGCCTATAATTAGCTAAGAGATGGCTAGAGATGGCTTTTTAAGTAACAGTTTAACTACAGCCAGCTTGAAGGCCTGTGGTGCTTTGCTGATTATTAGAGAGAAGTTGATCATATTTAAGATTGGCAGGACTTCTTTGAGCAGTTTTGTAGGAATGGGGTCTAAAAGACACGTTGATGGTTTGGAGGAAGTAATTACTGAAGTTAACTCAGAAAGATCAATTGGAGAAAAAGAGTCTAAATGAATATCAATTCATGAAAGTAGCTGTAGATAATATTACATCTGTGAAATGATTATGAGTAATTTTTTCTCTAATGGTTAAAATTTTAGTTGTGAAGAAGTTCATGAAGTCATTACTAGTTAATGTTAAATGGTTGATTCAACAGTGCTCTGACTGTTTGTCAGCCTGGCTACAGTGCTGAAGAGAAACCTGGGGTCGTTCTTATTTTCTTCAATCAGTGATGAATAGTAAGATGTTCTGGCTTTGCGGAGGGCTTTCTTATAAAGCAACAAACTATTTCTCCAGGCTAAATGATGATCTTCTAAATTTGTGACATGTCATTTCCTCTCCAGCTTACAAGTTATCTGCTTTAAGCTATGTGTTTGAGAATTATACCACGGAGTCAGGAACTTCTGATTTGAAGCTGCATTTTTCACAGGAGCTACAGTATCCAGAGTCATACGTGGTGAGGAGGTAAAATTATTATTAACAAGATAATCGACCTCTGTTGGAGTAGCATTCAGGTAGCTGCTCTGCTCTGTGTTGGTACAGAGCATTGACGATGATAACAGTGGGTGGATTATATTCTTAAACTTAGTTACAGCGCTTTCAGAAAGACATCTACTGTGATAAAGTCTACTCTCCACTGCTGTGTAATCAATTATTGTAAATTTAAATGTAATCAGAAAATTATCCAACAAGAGTGGCTTCTCGGGAAACACTGTTAAATGTTCAGTTTCTATGCCATATGTTAAAAAAAGATCTAGAGTGTGATTAAAGTGGTGGGTGGGTTCTTTCACATTTTGAGAGAAACCAATTGAGTCTAATAACAGATTAAATGCTGTGTTGAGGCTGTCATTTTTAGCATCTACATGGATGTAGATGCTAAAAGGAAGAACAGACAGAAACTCTGTGTAAGGCCCAGGTGGACGATAGATGATAACAAATAAGACTGGCTTTTGAGTTTTACAGCTGGGGTAGACAAGACTAAGCATCGGGCTTTCAAACAAATTAAAAGTCTGTCTTGGGCTTTGGCTGATTAATAGGATGGTGTGGAAAATTGCTGCCACACCGCCCCCTCAGCCTGTGCTTCGAGGTTTCTGATAGTTAGAATGACTCGGGGGTGTTGATTCATTTAAACTAATATAATCATCCTGCTCTAACCAGGTTTCTGTAAAGCACAATAAATTGATTTGTTGATCAATTATTAAGTCATGTATTAACAGAGACTTGGAAGAGAGACACCTAATGTTTAATAATCCACATTTCACTGTTTTACTCTTTGGTGCAGAAAATATTGGAGAGCAGTGAGATCTAGCTATCACCTGATGGGGCAGAGACACCAAAACGGAGTATAGGGTTTCAGTATCATTGTAAGCCTGTCATCATGAACTATCAAGTCATGCAGAGCACACTGAGTTCACTATGCACAACACCAATTGGGTCCTACCCAGACAATACCATCTTTTTGGCATGCTTATTCCCTACACTGCTCTGGCTTAAATAAAAAAAAGTAAATGTTTAAATAAAACGTGGCTTAAACACTGGTGAAGAATCTCTGGAGCTAGAGAAGAGCGAAATGGCTCAAACCTGCCACACGACTTGCTCCAGCTGTAGCACACCTGGGAGAGTGAACTTAAACTGCTCCATGCTCTCCCTCTTCGAAGATGTTATGTGCATCCCAGACCTGTCAGACTCCACACACAGCATTCATATCTTTTCAGATGCTACAGAGAAAGCATATGGGTCCATAACATATATTATTCACTACATTACCCCTGACCCATTTTCATGTAATGCCAGTGCACTGCAGATTGGAGCTACAAGTTTAACTCTAACAGCAGATAACCACAAGCAAGGTGAACTATATCATTTCAGGAAAGTACAGAAAGACTGAAGTTTCTGTCCTCCTGTCATCGCTAGTACCAATACTACTTACCTTTACTTCTGTGTATGACCAAGAAACTCAGCTGACTGGAGTTGCACTTGGTGAAAAGGGGTGGGCAGGGGGAGGTTCCAGATCCCAAGCTGTTGAGGTAAGCTCAGTTATATCTAGCCAGTATTTCTCAGTCTCAATCACCAGCTCAGATCCCTTCCCTGCCAGCGATGGACAGATCAGAGGCACTTTAGATTCTTTACTTCTTCCACCAGATACGTGATGTCATACTCCATGCCTCCATCATCCTGTTTGTGGGAAGGGCATGGGCCTAGGATTCTATCACAGACCCAACAGTGGCTTTCCCTTTGAGCTGGAGTAGATGCACCAGCATCGGCTGCATAATGGCCTGGATCATTTTTTCCAAACCAATTTGAAGGCTGGCTGTAGCTCAGGAGATTTGGCAGGTCGTCCACTAATTGGAAGGTTGGCTGTTCTAGTCTGTATGCCAATGTATCCTTGGGCAAGTGTTCGTATAACATTGTAGCCCCAGGGTGACTGTGGCTACAATGTAGCTTGCCATCACCAGTGTGTGAATGTGTGTATGAATGGGTGGATGACTGGTTGTGTAAAGCGCTTTGGGGTCCATAGGGACTAGTAAAAGCGCTATACAAATACAGGCCATTTACCGTTTACAGGCCATTTAAATGGGTAAATGGGATAAAACATTTTGAGTACTCCAGTAGAGTAGAAAAGAACTAATCCACTTACCATTTACAATCCAAAGGTAGATTTGTCAACCGGAGGTTGGACCACAGGACCTCTGCCCCTGACCACCGCCCAACCCACAAAATAGACCAATCCCACTGCAATGTCTCCAGAAACTGCATAGTTGAATGGTGCTGTTTAGCTTGACCGTGTTAAACAAACACTGCCTATCATGAGACATGCAGTCAGACCAGTCAAGTGAGGAACACTGGAACTTGTTCTTACACAAAAGGAAACACTTGAGGCATTAGTGGCCTGCTCTATGGAGGTAAATAGTTTCAGTTCAAGCCTCAAAGTGATGAAAAATATAGTATCTGCTGATCCAGCTTTCACATTAGTATTTGTACATAATATGAGGAGGGATGGGAATGTTGTGCAACAAAAATTTAGAACCGGATGCTCTGAAGTTAATAGTTTTGTTATTTTGAGTGTCTGAATGATTTTTGTTTGTTTTTTGTCTATTTGAGGTCTTTTTATTGTGTGTCTTTTTGACTTTTCTCTTTGTGGTCATTTTTGTTTGGAGTTGTGTCTGTCTGAGTCTGACTGTCTCTGTCGGATCTATTTGCAGTCATTTTGTGTTGTTTGTGTCTCTTGCCATTATGAAACAAGAAACGTTAACTTCAAACACATATTTCTCACGGGCTTAGGTCTGTATATAATAACGACTTGCTTGTTGAGCAGAGTCGGTTGGTGGGCTTCACTTTTTGTCCGTCCTTCTCGGCGTTTCCTCCGCCCTCCTGGTTTATAAAAGAAGCGAGCAGCCCTCAGTCATTGGAGCTGATTCAGTCAGGTGGATTGGGGTGGCTGTGAGATGGCGGAAAGAGGCAGAGAGCAGCCGGGGTTAATCCGTCTTTGTTTTGCTGCCCCGCAGTAGAACTTCTCAGTGTCGAGTCCGGTTCGGAGACACACAGAGAATTCGCTTACGGCGCAAACATGTCCTGGAAACGAGCCAGGAGTGGAGAATCTCCGATAAGCCGACGCGCAAAAGGTAGGAGAGAGACCAGTGTCGCTCGGTGAGGGTGAGCCGGTCAGTGCTGCTCCCATGGAGCCACAGCACACAGACACCTCGCTGGGTTCATGACTGAAGCACTGATGAACTTTTTAGCCAACTTTTTGTGTGGAGCTGAGGAATTTGCTGGAGCGGTCAGATATTGTGGACTGTTGGAGTTTTCGGGTGTGAGCCAATAAAAATATTTTCTTCCCAACCCTTTCAGACGTCCCGGAGCCGCTGCAGGAGAGTGCTCCCTCCCCGACCCTGCCTGCGGATCATGTGCTCAGCTCCGGAGCGGTGTTATTCCCTGGTGGCTATTAACCCACATTTGTGTATCATGTGCCTGGTGTATTCATAAATGTTTGAAAGTGTGAGACCTAAGAGAGCTTGTGTGAAGGCTTTAGAACTCCTCCACTCCTGGTGATGCTCAGTCTTTTTAAATGTTTCATTTATTTTGGTAAAACTGGCAGCCACATGAAAATGTCCTTAACTCGGACCGGATGTCTAGGCCTCTTTCATTTTATTTTCCTTCTTCATCCCTAAAATTTGCACATAATGGGTTTATCTGGCTTTTTAGGTACTTTTGATCAACATGGTTGCCCTCTGGTTATGTTCCCAGTGGATGGGCAATACAAACTCTCCTCAGACCTCAGCAAAGCTGAAGTGGTGGACTTCATAAATTACTTTCAGTATCAGCACAAGTAGGTGGAATTCAACAAACACGTTTTTTTGCACTGTTTGTGTGTACAGTGATGTTTGGACTGTTTCTCTCTGACAGTAAGAAACTGGAAAAGCAGAGCATGGTGTCAGTCGTGGCTGATCTGAGGGATGTCTCACTCTCTACCATGAGTTTCATTGTCGAGACTCTACTGCTGCTTGAGGTATTGTTATGATGAAGTGGAGTGTGTGGCTACATTGTGAGACCTTTTCAAGATGATGGTTTACTTTTTTTAGACTGAAGTTCTATGCTGAAATGCTTTTAGACATGCTTTTATTACCCAGCAGGCTGCTGTTGAATTGTGATGAATATGAATTGTATTATTTACTTTTTTGTGAACAAAGTATAAACCCCAAAGTACTCTGAAGAATTTGAGTCCCAAATAATAATGAAATATTGTTTAGACGTCAGCTGTCTAACCTGTGGAAGGACAAAAATGTAGAAACCCAGAATGAAGGTTTTCATTTAGCGAGACATTTTTTACATTTATGTGTTCTTGCTGTTGGTTAGTTAAATTGGAGAAAATGTTGCATGAATCTAATGCCTGAAGAATTGAAGATGAGGCAAAGGGTTTCAGAGATGTTTGCGTTTACTTAACCAATGAAGCCATTTTAAAAACTGTGTGATTGAGTGCCGTATGAGCAACCATGTGTTTTCATTGAGGAAAGCAAAGAATAATTGTTGGTGCAAATTTTTATTTTTCTATTTTTATTTTTTTAGCTACAAAAGCGCACAGTCCACACTGTGTACATCCTTCAGCCCAAAAAAAAGGATCTTGAGAAGCTAATGCTGAAGCTGCTGGCTCCATCGAAGGATTATCCTGCTTCTTTCAAAGTGAGTATATCAAACTGTTATGCACAGACTTTGTTGAGATTTAATGTACGTGAGCAGTTCTGATCTCCTTTTATAAACATTTTGTAGAGGGTCCTTCTGAGAGAAATCCCAGAGCTCCAGAACTACATTGATCGAAGCCAGCTACCATGGTCACTGGGTGGATACCTCATGTACCGTCATCAGAGCTGGGTTGCCTTCATTAAGGTAGTGATGCTGCTTTCTGCGAGACCAGTTTCATTTAGAAAGTGTAGAAAAATCACTGTGAAGAGGATACAGAGGGTAAGGGCCTGTGGTCTTGATCACATATCTGTGGTGATATATGGGACAGAGGGAGTGGACTTTAACCAGATGGAAACAATCCCAGAGAGTAAGTGTGCCAGAGGAATGTGATGTGCAGTTGATGAGCCATACAATGAAGATATGAAGGAGTTGCTGTGAACAGCAGCATGCTGAGAAAGGGCACTACAGATGTGATATTTGCTTTGAGAATATTGATGGAGAAGTTCTGAAGGAGCTTCACTGTGTAATTGTGGATCTACACAAAGTATATGATAAGGTGCCAAGATGTGGTACTGTATTAGGAAGTTAGGAGTGTCAGAAGAGGAATGAAAATCAGATGATTAGAAACAAGTCCATCAGAGAGACAGCTGAGATGGTTTGGACATGTGCAGAGGAGGGATAGTGGGTAAATTATATAGAGGATGATGAAGATCGAACTGCCAAGCAGAAGGAAAAGAGGAAGACCTCAGAAGATTCATGGATGTAATGAGAGGGGTTGGGGTGACAGAAGACAATACTAGTGATAGAATAAAATTGATGCAGGTGACAATTGTGAGCCCAAAAGGGAGCAGCTGAAGGAAGAGAGAAACACCTGTATTAAAATGCTGCTGCTTCTCTGGGGAACAACTTGTCATGCACCAACTGTAGCAAAGGTAGCTACAAATATGGAATTTAACATGAGCTTTTCTACTTGTAATGTGTGCATCTATAAAGAGGTATGAGTAAGATAAAGAAATGAATGTCTGTCCTGCCTGTTAGATATATGACGATGTAGTCATGTTTCCTTTCCAAAGCTTTTGGTCATAGGATTAAGCTGGAAGAGCAGCTGAAAGTTCAGTGTTTAAGGATACTTTTTTTTTCTTTCTTTTTTTAATGGGTGATTATGTTGATGATTGTCTGCCCCAACCAACTTTAAGCCAACCATTCTAACTAATTTGTTATATTTGTTTAACACAACCGTTAGTCTGATAGCAAGACTTAAGAATCAGTCTTATGATTAATCGGGGGATTTGTGTGTATGTTGAAATGTTTCTGCTCAAGTGTGACGTGAGAAACAGTCTCTCTGGTAATCCACTAATAACTAACAATAGGTCAGAATCCATTGAATATTTATTGCGAGCATAGATGCAGAGATCTGTTTGAGCAGCCAGCACCTCTTATTGGTCACCACCATGAAGCTTGTGCAAATGCCTTGCATAATGAGCTGATCTTATTAGCCATTGAAAGGAGCCCTCTTTCCATTAATTATCCATTCAGTCATATTCAGCTGGGCCATGACTGTTAACTGTGGCACCTCTTTGCCTGTGGGGAAACCTATTTAGGATACTACTTGGGATACAATCCCCATAGACTGAATTGGGATTTGGTTAACTTAATCGACTGTTGACATAACTAAATCGGGAAAATGAGTAGCCTTAAACTCATGCTCACCTTAAAGCTGTCTAAAATAAACAGTAGTGAAGTCTCATATTGTGAAATCCTGGGTGCACAGATGTATTTTGATGATCTCTGACTCATGCTGCTTCCTGCAGGAGATCGATGCGTTTGTCCAGGAGTTTGTGTCTGTAGTCCAGCGGCTGCCTTCATGCATCTCTGCACTGCAGGCTCTGTCCAGGCTGCCACTGCCCACCACCGTCAGCGAGCTCCGGCAATTCTGCTTCGACACTGAAGCCAAGTTTCAGCAGCTCAGGAGGTTAGAATTGCCCCTTCTTGGTTATGATCTTATCAAGCAGCTGCAGTCTATAAAAGGGTGTGGCACTTTCTTGTCTGCAATATTTTTGTCAATCAAATATTCACTGAAATATAAACCTTATAGCAGCAGGACGGCAGAGGGGGATGTGCGCAGATGCTCGTTTGGTGTAACACTTGTTTTTCTTGTATTCATGGTATAATATTAGTACCATCAAGAGGAAAGAATGTGCTCTAATTGCTAATTCGGGCCCTATACTAGGAAACTCATTCAATGTGCTGTGGGTATCTTTCTGTTACGTGAAGCGACTTACTCTAACACTGTCGATCAGGACAAACTGTTTCAGAAAGCTGGTTATCAAGTTAACCCAGGGTTACCCCTGCACGTTCAGATGAAAGAGGTGGTGTTGGCAGCTTCTGACCAATCTAAGGGCGTTTCACAGGTAAACATTAAAGCCTACTGTTCCACATGTATGATGTGATCAGGGAGTTGGGGCTGGAGGAGCTACTGAGGAACTGTGAGAGCTTGGTGGGGAAGCTGCGTTGGCCTGACAGGGAGCCGTGCTTCCAGGATATGGCTGGAACTGCCCTCTTCACTCAGATGGCCTTTGATATGCTCCAGAACCACAGCAGGTACTGCAGGCAGCCAGATCTCTGTGTCAAGTCATGAAAATGGGTTCTTTATCTTAATCCACCAAAAAGTCCATACAGCAGTTTTGTAATGATCCCATTTCACATCAGCTAAAGCAAAATGCCAGTATGACTAAGGATTATCCAAGATTAATGTTTTTTGCTACTCTAAGAAACTGTATCGGACACTTTTAAGAGTTGATGTCGCTCACTGTGCCATTTAATTACAGGATAACTGCTGCTGTGGAAAAAGTGGAGTTGCTGTGGCAGCAGCTGTTTTCTAAAGCTCGTTTAAGGCTACGTGTGTTCCAGTTGCGTGATAATGCGCTGCAGGTGGGTCTAACAGCGAGTCCACATGTAATGGTTTCCTTTAAAAAAATTTTTTTAAACCTAGTGGTCTAAACCAAAACCTAAATGACCTGAGTCACTTTACTCGGGCTGTTTTGGTTTGAGCAGAGTGGGGAATGTTTGACCACAAAACTGAGTATCCACAGGACAAATGTGGCTTTGTACATCTGGATAACCTTAAAATATGAACTATTAAATCGTTTTCTGATTGTGAATTGTCAAGGGTGCGGTTCTCATCTTTAAAAATGGCCTTGGGCGTGTAGCTAAGTACAGAACTAGATAAAAGTACAGATAATAGTGTTAGTATAAACGGCTCAGTGTTTGTGGAAAACTACTTTGAGTGACCACTTGAAGAAAATTATCAGCTCCCCCAGTAACTGGGGAACAACAACCGATCCGCAAATAAAGGCAACCGGATGTTGGGTTTTCTTGACGCTTGCTTACAGGTTTCTGAGAAGATTGAAACTCTTCTTCGAGAGAAGATCCAGCCCTTCAAAGTAGAGATTGCCAAGGACCCTACAAAAGCTGTGATTCTGGTGTCTGAATTTGAAGCATCCATCCACACTCCTGCTATGGTATGGCTTTAGCTTGCATGTTATGAATCTTACCTTGCAACATAGATCGACCTCGATTAGATTACACCACGGTTTAGTTAAATCCTAGTTGTTTGTAACATTAGTGTTGCTAACTGTGTTACGGATGCTGTTAACTTATGCTTGAAGTAAAGGTTACCTCTCACCTACCAGGCACTTGTTCGCTGGGCTGAAGATGTAATCCAGGCTTCAGCAGAGATTCTCCCCTTGGACAGTCAGCCCACAGGGAGCTGGGCTGCAGATCTGGAGAGGCTGAAGGACAAACTTGACTCTGCCGTGAACTTGATTCTGCAAACCCTCAGAGCAGTTTCCAGCTACCATCGCTACTACAGCAAGGCAAGTTGTGGAAAACTTACAGACGCGGTAATACCAAGTGCTCGTAACTGTGGCATGAACATCAGCAGCGCATTTGATTCATTGGAAGAACTTTTGTTTTGGAACCTAAGCTAACCATCAACAGCTTTTTGTCTTGCTCTTGCGAGGTAATGCTCGCCACGTTAAACAAAACAACAAAAATACCTTTACTGACTGTAATCACTGACAGTAGTTTTTATTTCTTTCACTCCACATGTGCCAGACATCCTCTTTCAAATCACACTGACCTATCATCCAACTGGCTTACTAACATTTTTCCATCATCCTGTGCTGTCTAATTACAGCCGGTGTGCATTTTTAATTTCAAGGACAAATGCTTTTTAACTACTTAAAGATGATGTTGATCAAAAATTTGAGTCTAACTTTGTTATTGCCATACCTGGTTACTGTTGTCTAAAATAAATTGACCCCACCCCCAAGAATAGCAGAAATTATGCCGTTTACCTGTTTAGGCCAGCTGCTGGTACAGTCTGGTCCTTTGCCAGAACTTCCTCCAGGAGCTCCTGTCAGGTGTTCGTGAAGAGGCTTCCTCCATCCAGCTGCAGCAGAAGAACTGGGGGATGATGCCTGGGTGGAGATGGAGGCTGTCCACTTTTCTGAAGAACAATCCCCCTCCAGAAATGGAGGAGCTGCTCCATCTGTCTCATTTGGCAAATGCAATCCCAGATGATGAGATCCAGCAGATGGGGAAACAGATGTCTCAAAGGTGATGTGATTGATTCCATTTCAACTGTTGTGTACAAAGTCGTACCTTGAGTGCAAGCAAATAAGGTGTGCGTGCGCATCAATTATCAACGTTCTTGCAGTTTTGTGCAAAAGCAAATTTGTTGAAAAGTAGCAGCTTCCTGAGACATCAGACATGTCAACCACTGCCGTTACCAAATGTCATTTATGGGCTGTTAACAGGAAGCTTGGTCCTCTTCAGGAAAGCAGACTTGGTAAAAACTGAATATGTATAAGTATGTTGTCCTTTCATAAAAGATCATCCAGTGTGTACTCTTGTAGGAAGGGTAAGGAATGAAGCACTCAAGTGCAGCTCCTTATTTTGAGAATTTGACCTGCTATGATGCTATGAATCAACTTTATTTTTCAATAGTAATTTACTCAAACTTGAATGAAATATTCTAATTTGAGCTGCTGAATTTGTGATTTGCATGAGTTACAAGCCACAAGAGGTGTACCAGAGAGGAAATCAATTTCTATCAAAGTTTAACCTTTTAATTAAATGATGAGAAACAAACATTCATCCATTTGTTTAGTTTTTTATTTTTTTGTTGACACTTGAGTGACTTCTTGAAAGATGAAATGTCTTCACTTGGACTCAGAATCGCCAAAATGAGTCTTTGCTGGGTAAAATATCACATCTATAAGTTGTGTCTGTTGTGTGATCTATATTTTTATCTTCAGTTGAACAACTGATTCAGCAATCAAATGCAAGTTTGGCAGATGATGGCAATTTAAATGGTTTTACTCCAGTGTTGTTGTCGTCGTCTGTATTCATTGGTCCACTGGATTCTTTATTTATTCATGCGGTCACTGAATCATAGAATTTATTTTCTCCTTTAGCAGATGGAGTAATATTTAGAATAGATTTAATCAGCTGATCAGCATTTGTAGCTTATGGCTGCTCAATTAGTTTTGATCCCATCACCCATTCAACCCAAATATTCAGTATGTCAAATAACATTTGACAGTTTGGCTGAGCAGCCAGCCACACCAGTTTACCACATTAATTTTTTTTTTCTGGTGCCATTATTTCATTTTCTATTTATTTTTTTTATTCGCCAGGTGCTTGACACTGAGGAAACTTCTAAGCTCTTCAGGACCAGTGGCTGTCGAACAACTCCAGATGGCCCTACAGTGGCAGTATGAGTTACTGAGGGGCAACCATGTGAATCTCTTATCTGCTGATTCTACCACGTCAAAACCTGTGCCACACCATGTTTCAGAGTCAAACCTCGCTAAATGTAAAGGTGGTAAAGAAGTTGCCCATGTCTTTGGAACATCTCCCTTGTCCGGAGGTTCAGGGATGGTGTCAGCTACGGGCAAACCGTCCTCCCCGTTTGCTGCAACCAGAGACTTTGCAATACCTGCCTCAAGCCCGCCTCAAATCCATGAGATTATTTCCAGTGTTTCAGATTGTAGGGCTCACAGAGAGGAGCATGACTTGGGCTCTATAGGAAGCTCTCCTAAAGCTGATTTGCTGAATCAGTTTGAGATCAAAGTAAAGCACATAGCTGCTGTGTCCAGTAACCCTTGGCTTAGCTTGCCGGTAGAGGATTTGGAAAACTCTTACACTGTCAGCAGTACACAAAATCCAGCACCTCAAAAAGTTGATCACGATTCTTCAGATGAGCATGTCAGTGGCACCCAGGCTAGCAGGTCTCAAATTCAGCCTACACCGGAGGTTTTAAGGAGCACAGAACCCAAAGGATCACAGAGCAGGGACTGGATATTACATCCAGAACATCCTGAACTAAGTCCCATTTGCAGTGTTCTCTCCAGCACCGTTATTGAAGGAAGAGACAAGTCCATCTGTTCCACAGAGGGGGTTCCCACTCTACTCTGGGATTCTTATGACCTTCATGACCAAAATCAAGATGATGATGATGATGATGATGGGTAATTTGTTTGGCTTCAAATGTCAAAATGTCGATCAGTATGTTGCTTCTCCTACAGTGTGCTATTCTCAAAGAAATTTCAGCAGTGGCATTGAAATTTCAGTTGTTACAGATCCTACACGAGTAATCTTTTTTT